ACTCACTCTCTCTCTCTCTCTAACTTCATATTGGTAGGCTGTCACACCACGGGCCGACTTCTAACATATATCCAACGAGTAGAAGAAGTAGCATCTCTCTCTCCTCTTTCCTTCATCCACTTAGCCCTCTCTCTCTCTCTCTCTCTCTCTCTCTCTTCCCCAAGCTCTCTTTCTCTCTCCATGGCAGAACGGAAGTGGAAAATCCCTCGGACCAAGCCCTAGAAAGCGGTCATCAAAACCCTAACAAGTCCTCTAATGGCGGACATCTACCAAACCCTAATTTCGAGGAGAGCCACGTGGGTGGCCCTCTTCGTTGTCGCCTACGCCATCCTCCTCTCCTCCTCATGGTCCCTCCTCCGCTCCATCCTCACCTGGTACCAACAAAATTCCCAAAATGACCCTGCCTCCTCCTCCGCCAAGTGGCCCGCTGTTTATGTGGCTGTTACTTTCGGATGCGTCTTCGGCGTTATCTCGATGGCCGCCGCTCTGGCCGTTGCGATCCCGGCCATGGTGGTCACGTGGATAACGGTGCTCGTCCTTCTCGCCTGGAAGCCGCGGAGCGTGCTCGTTGTTGAGGGGAGGAAAATAACGAAGGAGATAACGGGGTTCGCGCTTAAGATTTTGCTTAGAGAGGGAAACGGTGTGGCCGCTGTTTGTGCGGTGGTCAGTTACTTTGTGCTTGTTGGGAGAGAGAATTAGATTGGGTTTGATTTTACGGCTCCTTTCTCTCTCTAAAAATGGCTTCTCTCTCTTTCGATCTCTCTCTAAAACCTCTTCTTTCTTTCTCTCTCTTCTTTCTTTCATTCGATCTCCAGTTACCTTCCCTTATCTCTCTCCATTCTTCCTCTGATCTGTTCCTCTTTCTCTCTCTATCTTAGCGTTTAGGGGCATGGAAGTGTCATTTAAGAAGTTCAGAAGTCATTTCTTGTAATTTGTAAAGGATAAGATGATCAGGAGCTGGTTTGTTTCTGGGGATCAGTTGTAAGGGGATCATTTATTTTTTGTGGGATGACGAAAATAGCCCTATTTATTGTACGTAGCTGATACTGGGATTCTTTGCTCCGGCAAATTATACTTAGTAAAAAGTTTATGTAGAGGCGAGGCTTTATACAATCCAATTAAGGAAGAGTAATGATCCAATAGGACTTTCATCTACTAATGTGTGTATTATCTTAAAGGATTACTATTAAAGTTGGCACGTATCTTTAAAAAGGTTATCACATTAGTGTAGGATTTGATTTTTTAAAAAATTTATATCAATTTTAATGGTGATCTTTTAGGAGTCCTACATACACATAAGTGGAAGAGGGTCTTATAAGATTATTTCTTATTAAAGAACATATAAAAAATTCATTAGAATAAGTTTTTATTTTATGCCTAAAATTCCTCAAATCCATAGTCTCAACCTCAAATGTATAGAAAATAGATTTCTTGAAAATAATGTATATTGTAATTATTTATTGGATTGTATATTTTCAAGATTTTATTTATATTGGTTTTCATTCGAACTTTCAAAATATATATAGATCGGTTTGTACTACTTTGAAAGTCTTGAATTTTAAAATTAGAAATGAAAATAAATTTTTAGGCCATTATAACGGTTTCTAATATGGAAAGTACTTATTTCGACACTATTCAAAGGTATGCTTTACTTTGATTGTTTAGAGCTTCAGTCTTATACAAACTACACTCATTTAATATGAAAAAGTAAGTACTTAATATGAAAAGGTGGCATACGTAAAGGGACTATTTACCTTTTTTACAAGGTAGTAATCTTACCATTAGATGTGAAATTAGGTGGCTGCATTTATTTCATTGACCGAGTTTAAAATTCAAAAGAAATTTTTTCGAACTTTGTAACACATCCAAGCTATCAGATTTCACATTGGATGGTTGTAAATGGTCTCATTGTATACAATCCCATATGAAAATACCCCTCGTGTTGTTATTTTGTGATCAAATAATAATATAGATTAAAACAAAAATAAATGAAAATTAAGGTAAAAGCAAGGTTGGCTATGAACTTGGCTCAATCTTCAAACTTGATAACCAGCCGTAGCCCTTGAGGACTAGTCCCTAATTTTAAATGGTCAAGCTAATCGGGCTGCTTGGATTTAAATGGTCATGCCGGCCAGGCTGCCCAGCCCATTGTGAGGCCTACCTTGGGATGGAGTTATAGGGATGGGGGAATGGGTTAGGGGCATATTTGGTTGGGAAATGTTCTTAAAGACCCCTTCCTCCTCTCCTTGGGCAAGAAGAAGAGAAGAGCAACCTTGTTGAGACCTGCGACAAATTTGAAGAATTAGACCTGCGTGAAGAGTGACGAAGAGTTTTGATCAAAGGAAACCCCACCAAAAATGTCTCGTTTTGTGAAGCAAATGAGAGAGGTTTGAGACAAATTTGAAGAAGAAAAGCCTCCGCGCCAATAATAATGTGGGACTTAGAACCCATATTGTTATGACACCACTCACAATATAAGGGAATGGTACTCCTTGACCCTAAAATTTTGGGATAACAAATACCAAACTTGTCCAAGCGATGTTGCCTTGATCTCCTCTATTATGCATTGAAAGTGGAAATTGATGGTATGCGTATGATACCAACCTGAGATCAGAAAAAATGGCTGAGGCTGGTGATCACAGAGCCTGGATTTTTCTTGCCCTTTTGAGATAGAGAAGATGAGTTTGTGTTTACCGATGAAACTCTGTATATCTTTCTTTCTTGTTGCGTTCTTCCTCTTTCTAGTTTCCCATTTTATAGGGAGAAAAAAATGGCTTAACAGTTATCTTTCCAATTAGTCTCTGAGAAATGGTCTTCTCTGATCTTAAGGACATTCATCGAACGTTCATATAGATGTTAGTTCATACGAACCTTGGATGTGATAAACATATCATTCCTCCCACAATTGTAGGCCTCCCAGCCCACAATTGTAGGCAAAGTTACACTAGGCATTATGGCCATACGTGTTAATATTTCCCATTTGGCCGTGACGGCCAATCGTAATAATAAGTTATATGCATACTCTCACTTTTGAGTTTGACTTTTAAGAAAATTTTTTCTTATGAGGTTTTTCTTCACACTTTCGCGGATATGCCTATCATAACAAATATTCACCATGAGGATTTTCATGTTACTACGGATTTGTCACTAATGAAAACTAATTGACTTAAATATTTTTAAGTCCCATTAAGCTAGTGTGCTTAGACAGTAATTCAACACTTAGATCTTTTGTTAATGGATCAACGATCATATCTGATAAGGGCAAGTAACTAACGGTTACCTCATCTTTCTCAACTACATCCTGAATGTAGTGATATTGAACATCTATATGTCTTCCTTTAAAGCTATTTGCTCTACTTTGAATTAATTTAATTCTAGCTTGGTTATCATAAAATATTTGGATCGGTTCGTCGATTATTTGTAGCTTCAAGTTATCTATGAAACGCTTTATCTAGACGGCGAAAGTACAAGCAGTGCTACATGCAATGTATTCTGCTTCTTGTGTATACCTAGCTACACACCCTTGTTTATTGCTAGACCAAGAAACATCAGCTCCTCCAAAGAGGAAAATATGTCCTGAGGTGGACTTATTATCATCCTTATCCCCAACAAAATCCGAATCTGAATATCCTACAACTTCAAGCTTATCTGCTTGAAAACTCAATTTTAGATGCTTTGTTCCCTTAATGCACCTCAGAATTCTTTTTACTGCTTTCCAATTAGCTATATCTGGATTACTTTGATATCTACTAACAAATCCTATAATATAACTCAAATCTGGTCTTATACACTTTACTGCATATACAAAGTTACCAATAGCTTGTGCATAGGGAACATTATGTTTTTCTTGTCTTTCTACTAGACAATCATTCCTAGACAACTTTACTCCCTTTTCAACAGGAGTAAACAATGATTTACAATTTTCCATTTGAAACCTTTTAAGGATAGGCTTAGGTTTTCTCAAATCATTCAATTTTAATTTTAAAATACATGCGTAACCTTCTTAAATCATTTTACCGCATTCACTTTTAATTTTCTATTAAGTCAAGTACATGGCCACAAAAACAAATCATAAATATCATCTTATAATTTTGTCCAAAATAAAGCATGACTAAATAATGTCTATTAAATCCTTGACAAAATACTTCTTTTTTGGCAAATATGGAGAATTTATTAAGAGATCATCATCACATGTAGCACATCATATTATAGACATTATTGTGAGGATGGTCACTAAGATCGAGTTCCATCAGAACACTTATTTTTTGCTTACATATTTGAATGAGCTATACCCCTCTCTTGTGTTTCGTACTTGGGCTTAAAGCCCTCGATCAAACAACATCTCCATATGTATCGCTACCTTAAGTAGTTTATACTCAAGCACAAGGAGGCAACAATATACAGAGTCTTCAAAACCGCTATTTCAAATTAATTAGCACTTATCACCTAATGTTCATATATTCCATACATATTCAAATAGCAAAAAAAAAACGAAGTATATGAAACTTAAAATAAAAGGATTACTGACTCATCTTTTCCTATATGATCTTACCATGTCATATGAGATAGATTTCATATCTCAAATCCATGTAGTGTGATACCTAGGCTTTATTGATTCTTTGCTTTTATTTGTTTGACAAACTTTTGTGATCTTGGAAGAGCACGCAACTTATGAAAAATGTATTGGTCATCGATTTCAAATGTCATGAAGTATCCATCTCTTCGATACTTAGATTCTCTCTATCTTACACCGTGAAGAAATAATCTTCTTCATCCCATCATTTCAAACATTACAATTTCCATTTTCCCACTGGTCTTCAGTGTTTCTATGTTACCACTAAGTCTCTCTATATATCCCTTCATTTCGAAGAAATCAACATGCTTTTATAGGTATTGTGTTTCTTCCTCTTTCTTCCTCATTTCAAGGAAATCGAACTTTCTTCATATAGAGTGTATCATCTCACTTTATCTCTCTCTCTAAAGTTCTACTATAATAAACCATATTCATGACACACTATAAAATATTTTTAATTGAGTCTCTATAATTAGAAATCCAAAGATGTGCCTTAACATGCCACATCTTTTAATTTATTGCAGAATAGAACATAAGCATCCCATAAAAATATGATATCTCTCAACTTATGAAGAGTTTATCTCCGAATCGTTTTGAGTACTAAAAAATATAAAATAATGCTCAGTTTCATCCCTAAATCACATCATTTAGTGAGTTTACCTTTTAGTGACTTCTATATCATAATGCAATTTTTTTAACAGAAAATCAGGTTGAGCATCTCTCAGTAAAAAAATTGTTTCTCTCAAGCCTCAAAGAATTTCTTCCTGAAATCTTTGTATTGAAAACTAGACTCAAAACCAAATCATAACATCGCGATGTGAATCCCAAATAATATATTTCTTCATAGAAATAAATAACGTGACATACATATCATAAAATAAATCATACTGCAGAATTCCAGAATGAACATTGTCTAATAAAATTGTATTTTCTCTCTATCCTCATGAAGTTTTCATTTGAAACAAATTTTGTTTAAAAGTAGACACATAATGATAGCACATATATTTCCACAAGCCTCATATCACTCTTACAACCATAATGTTCAAGCTGAGATGATCCATGCAATGGTTGCTTAAATTTCAATTTTTGATGGGTTAGAGATAAGGTTTTATTTATTTTGATAGGGTTGCAACCCTATCAAACCATTTTTCATAATTAAATTGAACTTTTAGCTAAAAAGCTTTTCTTGTAAGAGATGTATCGTTGGCAAATAATTCCAATACCACGAAAACACCGAAATAATTTGATTTGATTCTCGCGTCGTCCCATCGACATGATGGGAGTAACGTTCCTTGTGGAAGTTCAAAAAGGAAATAACGTTCGTTTTTTCAAGTTGTAGTAAAGAGAAAGTTGGACATCCAAATACTTGGACCCTAAATTGTAGAAGATTTTGAATTGCATTTTAGAAAGGAAAATGTTTATATAGAGCGTTAACCAAGTGTAAAAGTTGGCGCAATTTAAAAATCCACCAAAATAGATTTGATCTGATATTGTAAAATCTTCTAATTGATCTTCTTAACCTCGATATGCATGAATATTAAAAACATAATTGATTTCAATTCTTGAGAATAGCACATCGTATAATGCATTATCTAAACCGTCCATTTTCAAGATTTTTAAGTGTTGAGATCTACTCAATGTGCACTATTTTTGTAGCTTGAAATATCATATTAGGGACGAAAAGAATTTTTTAAACCGTCATATTAGCTGGTTTACCCATCCGATCCAGTTTCTTAAACACTAATTTCATCATATATTCACAATCAAAAGAAATTAAACTAACGGACGAAAAGAATTTTTTAAACCGTCATATTAGCTGGTTTACCCATCCGATCCAGTTTCTTAAACACTAATTTCATCATATATTCACAATCAAAAGAAATTAAACTAACGGACGAAAAGAATTTTTTAAACCGTCATATTAGCTGGTTTACCCATCCGATCCAGTTTCTTAAACACTAATTTCATCATATATTCACAATCAAAAGAAATTAAACTAACTCACACTGATCAAATGTCAAGTGATGCAGGCCCTTGGGCGCTCACATCTAGTCCTCAAAAATGAAATGCGTCTACTACAAAACGAATAGAAATAGGTAGCATTCTCCATTTCAGATTTGAGATAAATGAAAAACCGAACTTAGTGGAAGACCAGTGTCCCTCGCTTCTAGGGTCCTAGGAATTGACCTCAACCCATTGCAGTGGCCCTCTTACTCGTACAGATGAAAACACACACACAGACACACACCCACAACCATTTCATTTGAACATCAAAACCAATCTGGCAGCAGTGTGCCAGTGAAATATACCTACCTATCATCATCTGGAAAATTCCCTGTGGCCGACATTCCGATAAAATTGCATAACCTTCAAATATGCAATGCAGCATCATGATTGTTTCCATGTTTCTCGACAGATTTCTTGAACCTGTCGCTCAATATCGTATCTCTGAGAACTGAACTCGAAGAGGGCCCGATTGAGTACCATGCTCAAGAAAGCCTATGGAAAGTATGAGAACATCAAATCTTCTCAAATTTAAGGAGAAATTTCTTTCAAACTTAAAGAGTAAAATAATGATAAAAAGGGTATGGAGAGGTTACCCCTTTATACACCTTTGGAGGTGGAAATAACCACCACTCTCATACCCATGACCCGGCCCACGCGCTGGACCATTTCCCCCTCACCTACCAGTTTTGTGAATAACGTCCCAATCCCTGAGGAGGGAGGGAAGCACATATTTATTTGAGGGTCTTCTTTACCATTGTCGAACAAGGAGAAGGAGATCACTGTTACTCTAAAACGTTCATGTGAAATTCGGTCCTTGGAGGTGTGTCACTTACTCTCCTCTAATATTTACATTTAATGTTTGCAACCTTAAACAATCAAATTAAGCCCCACTTCAAATTTTATCATAAATGTAAGAGTGATTTGCGTACGGATATTAAAATTTTGGATATAATACAAATCGCTTTGTTTACAAGCGGAAATTACAAAGAAAGTCGGCCAACTCAAAAAAAAAAAAAATTTCAAAATTGTCCTTTGGTCAACTCAAATTTTGATTTTTTTTTTTTTTTTTTTTTTTGGTTTTTTCATTAGTAAGACGGTCCCTCAAGCTTTTTAGGCATTGACCTACTAACAAAAAGACTGAAAAAAAAAATTAAAATTTGAGTTGATCAAGGGACAATTTTGAAAATAATATAAAAAAAGTGTTGATTGACCTTTTTTGTAATTTTCGCATATAAATGGAGCATTTCGTATTTTACCTAAAATTTTAATATCCGTTCGTAACTCACTCTAAATGTAATTTGTTGTAAAAAAATCATAGGATGGATTGAGAATCTATTTTCATCTTTAACTATAAAATTTTAAATTCTAAAAATAGTTCAAATCAAGTAATACACATGAAATTCTTAAAAATAGAAGGTCTAGATAATGTGTTGTAAGATACACTATTTTTAAGACCCGAAATCTTTTTTTCTTTTCATACTCATACGTCTTGATGTTGACATGATCAATTAGATAGGGTTTTCCAACATCAAAACAACATTCTATGATGGTTTTTGCGGTGCACCTTAATCCTACTTTTTCGGTTGTAACCTTATATAAACTTTTTCTCTATATAATACTATGTTATTTATTATTAATATCTTATATTATACTATATTATATTATATTATGTTATATTAGATAAGAATGAAAATGTATAATATTTTCTTATTTAACTTTCCTCATTAAACAAATATTCAATTCTCTAAAAGTATTTAAAAATAAATTTATTTTTTTATAATAAAATAATTCCATTTTACAAAAGAAAACTAAATTTCATATTGCGCTTTATTTTAAATATATGTTTTAGAATATGTCGATTTATAGTACATCTCAAATATTAAATATTTAAAATATAATATTAATGACTCTATTTTATTACCATAATTTTAAAGATCAAATAAAAAAAAAGGGCCAATTAATAAAATAAAGTGAGACTAAATTTGTCATTACATACTAAAAATTATGATTAATTAATAGATGAAACTCTAATATTTTAAAATCCAAAAAAGGTAAAACCAAAATTTTAGGTTAGGTTTTCAGATTTTGAATATTCAAAAATATTAAAAATAACTTCGTTCAGATAATGTGCAATTTCTGCTATTGAAGATCCAAAATATAAGCAAATTGATGATTTTAAAGTACTAAAAATAATAGGGTTGCGCATGATAAAGTACTAAAAAAATATTTCTGATGATGAAAAATTATTAGAATTTGTATTTTTAATAATTTTTTTCTCATAAATATTCTTTTATTTTTTTTAGCTGCATGCCAATAAGAAGAAAGGGCACTCCAAATTTTACCAAAAAATGCAATGTAAAAAATTGAAAAGTCTCTATTTTAGCATGACATAAATACAAGAATAATCCCAGCAGACTCACGCATAGGGGTGGCAATGGACCCGGATTTCGAAATGTAACGTGAAAATGAAAAAGAAAAACCACACTCTTTTCAAATGTAATCGTTTTTAATGTTTCCATCCGTATGTATATGCAAATTTTTCTTCGTGCGGACCTGTGGTTGGTACGGGTAGTGGTGCGGTACTGTGGATGGTGCGGGCCCGTCGTGGGGACCTGAGGTTGATGCGGGCTCCTCGTGCGGGCATGTGGATGGTGCGGTCTCTTCGTGCGGACATGTGGTTAGTCCGGGCTCTTCCTGCGGGCATATGGTTGGTGCGGTCTCTTCGTGAGGGCTTGTAGATGGTGCGGTCACTTCGTGCGGGCATGTGGATGGTGCGGTCTCTTTGTGCTGGCATGTGGTTTGTGCGGTCCCGTCGCGTGGGCCTGTGATTGGTACGGGCTCTCCGTGCGGGCTTGTGATTGGTGCGGGCTCTTCTTGCGGGCATGTGGTTTGTGCGGCCCCGTCTTTGCGGGCCTGTAGTTTGTGCGTCTCTTCGTGCGGGCTTGTTATTTGTGCGGGATTGTGAATGGTGCGGTCTCTTCATGCGGGAATGTGGATGGTGTAGGCTTTTCCTGCGGGCATGTGGATGATGCGGTCTCTTCGTACGGTCATGTGGATTGTGCATTCTCTTCGTGCGGGACTGTGGTTTGTGCAGTCCCGTCTTGCGGCCCTGTGGTTGCAGCGGGCTCTTCGTGCGGGCATGTGGTTTGTGCGGCCCCATCTTGCGGGACTGTTCTGCGGCTCTTCGTGCGGGCATGTGGTTTGTGGGGTCCGTCTTGCGGGCCTGTGGTTTGTGCGGCTCTTCGTGCGGGCCTGTGTTGGAGCGGTCTCTTCGTGCGGGCTTGTGGATGGTGCTGGCTCTTCCTGCGGGCATGTAGAGATGGGCTGCGGGCACTTTCGTGCGGGCGTGTGGTTTGTGCCGTCCCGTCGTGCGGACATGTGGATGCTGCGGGCTCCCCTTACGGGCGCGTAACCGTCCTGCGAGCACTTCGTGAGGGGTCGCAGTGCGAGCTCATCGGGCGGCGATGTTGTTAGTGCGGGCTCATCATGCAGGCCTATGTTTAGTGCGGGCTCATCGTGCTGGCCTGTTGTTAATGCGGGCTCATCATGCAGGCCTATGGTTAGTGCGGGTCATCGTGCTGGCCTGTTGTTAGTGCGGGCTCATCTTGCGGGCTTGTTGTTAGTGCGGGCTTATCGTGCTGGCCTGTTGTTAGTGCGCGCTCATCGTGCGTGCCTGTTGTTAGTGCGGGCTTATCGTGCGGCCGTGATGTTACTGCGGGCTCATCATGCGGACTTGTGGTTAGTGCGGCTCATCGTGCATAGTGCGGCCCTCTTGTTAATTTTATAAAATTAAGTCATCGGCCCTCTTGATAAAATTAAGTCATCGGGCACGGGCTCCCCGTGCGGGTTCCTGGTGCGGACCTGTGGTTGGTACGGGCTCGTCGTGCGGGTTCTTCATGATGGCACTTCGTGCGGGCCGGTGGTTTGTGCGTTCCCGTCGTGCGGGTCTGTGGTAGGTGGCGGCTGTTCGTGCGGCACATGGTTGGTTCGTGCGGGCTTGGTGCGGGTGCGGACTTGGTGCGGGCTCCTCGTTCGAGCTCTCAGTGCGGGCTAGTGGTTCGGGCTCGTTGATCGGGCTTTTCGTGCTTTGCGGGCTCTTCGTGCGGGCTAGTGTGTCGGACTAAAAGGGAGTTTCGGGCGGGGCGGCGTGTCTGCCTTGGCCATGGTCCGCAGAATTTCTAAACCTAGAGAGTGAAAAACGGGCAGTTGCAGGTGACGCATTCGAAGAAAAATGATCGCTGAAAGGAATCTAGAGAAAGAATTAGAGGCCTCGCCATGAAATCCGTTATTTGAGCTGTGTTGAGTTGCTCAAATCAAAATTTATTTTTAGAGAGAGAAAGAGGAGAGAGAGGAAATCGGTATTTCCGAGGAGAGAGAAAGGAGTAAATGGGGCCGTCAAGGCGGTGGAAAGTAGAAAGAGAAGGTCCAACAATGCAAAGGACGCCTTTGATGGCTGCTCTTGCATTAATGGCGCAAGAGACGGAATTAGAGAGAGAGAGAGAGAGACGTGCGTGCGTAAGCATACTCTAGAGACTTGAGAGCTCCGACATGGTCCTGACGTGGCCCCTCTCTCTCTACCATACGAAACTTGACAAGCAAAAATGGTGCAGAAATCTCAGGGCGGAGAGCGATGACAGGGTTTACTTCCTGGAAAAAGGCCACCTTCTCTCTCTCTCTCTCTGAACCCCCACTTTCTCTCTATACCTCTCGCTTTCTCTGGCCGCTGGCCAAGAAGTTTGAAGAAGACGTCGTGTACGGGGGGGGCTCACCGCACGAGACAAAATCCCTACCGATTTCGAAATGCTGCCGTCTCTCTCTCTACATTCTTTCTTCTCTCTCTACAGAACCTGCATAGAACAATCAGACGCATCCGCCAAAATTTATGTATCATCTCGGCCTACGCAAAGATGGAGTGGGCAAAACATAAAGGAAAAGGATGCAGAGCAGTAGAGCAGGCATACGGATTCATCCGTAGCCGTAGAGGGTATGTATCTCCACCGTTGAAGCATTACAATGGCTGAGATTGCGCACTAAGACCAAGGGAAAACCGGCGCTCACTGGTGCCCCAGTTTCCTTCCCTCTAACCATTAACTAGAGAGAGATAAGGTCTGATATGCATTTTCTCTCAGATCTGCATCCATCTTTGTTTTAGATTAGGAAGTAACAGAGAAGGTGTTTTCGTGAGAGAGGGTGCGAGTGCTCAATTTCTGCTGCGCTCTTCCACCATTAACTCTGAACTTAACCTCAAGCCCCATGTTCATCAGAATCACGAATTCGAAGCGGTCGCAAATTGTAAGACTCTTTCCCCAACTTGATGCACTGTGCAACCAGTGAAGAATCTCAGCATTCGGGTCCTCTTTGAAACCCTCAAATTGGACACAGTGATCTGCTTAACCCCTCTATACTCAGTGATCCTCCCTCTTAATAGTCATCAATTTCCCCAAAGCCACCTCCTCCGCCTGTTCGACTGCCATCCTAAAAAGCAACAGATGGATTAGGGCTGTGATAGAGGTGGGTCAGCCAGAGAATGCAGGGGAGCAGGGCAGGGCGCTACCATCCTCAACATGGAAGCGGAGGAACTTGTCCTTTCTCTCTCTACCCACCACCACGCCCATGCCCATGCCCATGCCCATGCCCATGCCCACGGTTTCAACGAGTGAAACGCATCTGCCATTGCTCAGGGCGGGCGAAGCAGTAGTCGGGGGTTTAAGAGAGAAACAAACGATGTAAGAGTTCCAAGAGTTCGACATGGACGTGTATCAAATGCGAAATCTTAACCATCCAAAATATTGGACGGTTTATAAGGTTGCAACCGTATTTAAACTTTTCCCATCGATAAAAATACCGCACCTGGAGTTTAAAAAATGTTAGTTCCACATACTGTAAAGTAGCATACGGTACCGGCAGTGTAGTCCATAACGAGTGGTTCAGCTATCAAGTTTTTATAGATACGTCGATTTATATTATTTTTTAAATTTTAAATTTTATAAATAAAAATGAAAATATATTTTAAAGCTATCACAAAGATTTTCAGTATAGAAAATGCATTTCTCCACACTATTATTTGAAGGTAGGCTCTAATTTGATTGTTTAGAGCCTGGGTTACGTACAAACCGCACCCTTTTCATAAATTTCCTTAAAATCGATGTTCATTAAGATGTTTTACAATTTACTATGCAGACTTTTTATGGGTTTTATCCTTAGGTAGCCCTTGCTATAATCCTAGTGTAAAATTAGCATGTGGTTGTGTGCCCTAAAATTAAATCATGCATGTCTATCGATCCATTTTTAGCTTCAAAATTATACGTTCTCCCTTCACTGCTCATCAAAGTTTTTTTTTTTTCTTTTATATGGAGAGGCTATTATTCAAGGAAACGTATGCGATGAGATATCTACTTTTGATACAAGAAGGTCATAATTATTATCAATCGTTGGATGTAAAATCAGGCGGGTCGTGAAGTGTCACTATCACTACTTGAGCACAAAGTTTGAAACAAATTTTCTCAAAAGTTGTTATACATTTTAATATGTTAGATTTCATTTCAAACGGTTAAGAAAATTGTGACCTTCATATACAGAGAATAAATAGTCTTATAGTATACAATCCCATGATTCACAACATTGACATTTTTATGTTTTCATAGTCCAAAGCTACAAAGTAGGTTGCTAAAAGCCCAAAATCCATATCAAAAAAGTTCGGATTATGGGGTTTCATAGTTTATGACAATAAAGAAAAGGAAAAAAGTAATCGAGAAACATTCTTTCAAAGATAACCCAATATTTTAAAGAATGAGACCATTTACTTTGATACAAGGTAAGACATTAATTTTGATCATTAGATGTGGAATTGGGTGGCTGCAATTATTCTATTGACCAAGCTCAAACCTCAAAAAAAAAAATTTCGAACCTTGTGAACACATCCAAGCTGGCAAACTTCACATCGGATAGTTGTAAGTAATTGTGACCACTTTTTATGAAAAGTAAATGGTCTAATCGTATACATTCCCATATTTTAATGTTCATCTTGGAATTCAGCGTCTTGGAATTGTGAGTGGTTAGGATAAAACGGCCACATTCTAGTGTTCATTGACTGGAGTATCAATTTACGTAAACCCCAAAAGAAAATTTTAGGAAAACGCCAGCATCAAATAATTTTTGGGAAGTTTTGCAAATATCTCTTAATTCTTGCGGTATTTAAAAAAGGGTGTGGTTTCTGCAACTTTAAACAATCCAATTAAGGCGCACCTCCAAATTTTATTATAACATGTGATCTTGGTGTAAACAATGCTGAGGATTCTTTCAAATCTATTTTAATATCTAATTATAAAAATTTTAAATTCCAAAAATGGTTAAAATCAATTAGATCTATAAACATATGAAAATCTTAAAAATGGACGGTCTAGATAATGTACAGCAATATGCACTATTTCTAAGACTCAATTTTTTATTTCTATTTTTTCATATTTATACATCTCGATGTCAAGATGATCAATTAGAGGGTTTATCAACAATAAAACGACATTTTCTAATAGATTTTTGAGGTTCATCTTTGATCCTACATTTTAATGTTGCAACCAGTGGTTTAAAAAACGGATCGGTGGCTCGGATCAGGCACCCCCCAAACCCATCCAAATCGGTGAATCAGCTATTCGGATCGGGAATTGGCCAAATCGATTGGATTAAGCTTTAAAAAAATCTAAAAAAATTATTAAAATTCATTATAATTGTTGTTTTTTATGAATCCAATAAGAAATCGGGGTACTACACTGTTAATTTTCATTTTTTCATCAATATGTGAATGTTTAGATGTTTTTCCTCTATATGAACTTATTTTGACTATTAAATTTACATCACACAAAAGAAAAATCATAGAATTATCATGGATGAAATATATAATCATAGATAGACTATAATAAAGAATGGTTTTAATCGATAAAAAATGGCTACCAAAATCTCGAATTGGTGGAGAACATTACATACTGAAATTGAACTTGTTGGTTTGCATTTTATAATTATTTTATTATACAAATAATAACAAATCCAACCTCTTATTTTTTTACAATAAATATTTGTTGTATTACCTTTTATCCTTTTTTTTTTGACAAAAACCTTTTATTTCTTATGACAATAACTTTTTATTTAACTTTTTACAAGAAATGCTTGTCGTATTATTTCTTTTTTTTTTGTTTAACAAGAACTTTTTTTTTTTTTTTTACAAGGAATACTTGTTGTATAACCTTTTTTTTTTTTACAAGAACCTTATATATTTTTACAATAAAC